AGTTCAAAAGGAACACAAGCAATTTGCTGAAATGCTGTTATTGTTGATTTTTCGCACTCCTGTATTGTGATGTTTCTTTCTCGTGTTATTTACTGGAATCCCTAATGTTGGTAGGGTATTGTCTTGGATATGTGGTGTGCAAAGCGAGAGCGTCGTTTGTTTGTAGAAGCATTGTTGCCCTGGTCGATTTGCTAAATAGGTGATTTTTTTCATTATGTTTCATTTCTTATTTCTTTATTCCGTTTTCCTAAGCACAAGATTGGTGAACATCTTCCACTTCGCGTTTTCAGAAGCACTAATTTCAATATCTAAAAGTTGCCCAGAAAATTAAGCTCGGTGCTTGCTTCGCTTCAGCAAACATTCATTTTGAACTTCGTTCGATACGTGACTGCCTTGTCGCGCATAGTATTCAATAATGTTTTCACATAAATACAGTAAATATTTTGGTTTGATACGAAAAAAAGAGTTCAAATCATATAATGAGAGAGAGAAGGATTAGTATTTTCCATTTAATTCCACTACTTTATTTGCTTATCCTTGACAGATACGCGTATTTCGTCTACAATGTACAGACTTCTTCAGTGTCTTGTACTAACACTCGACTGTCGATCAGGAGTTCAAATCATGTTCAGTCTATGTTGAAAATTGCATCACGCTGTCAAAATCGCAAACCTTATAAAGTTCACCATCTACGAAGTGGTGAATCATTTTGTTTTAATTTGAACGAAATAAAAGACCATTTCTTCGACATAGTTGTCGAAATATTAGATTATTGAAGACTCCAAATCGATGTACAGAGCGTGATAAATATAGGGTAGATGTACCAGTCATGGATATACGTTCCTATTATGTCGTGTTTCAATTATGGCTCATGGGAGTTCCATAGGCCATAATTGGAACACATCATAATAGGAACGTATAGCCATAGCTGGAAAACCTACCCCAATAGGTTCTGAATGACTATGTCCAAGAGTTTTAAGATTTTATAAATTTCCCAAAGTGCCAGAATTTTAATTCTTTTTTTGTGGCATGGTGTCTGAGATTTTCCTAAAAGTTCTAATTGTATCTCTAGAACAGCTCTGGGTTAAGTTGAAACTGCATCACTGTTCTGTTAGTATTGGTAGATCGCAAGAATGATTTACTTAGCGTGAATAACCATATCGAGTCTATAGAAGCGGTTCATTAACACCTTGAGCATAACTTTTCATCATGCTATTCTGCTTGGCGAATATAATCAATCGGGACTTGTCTGGAACACACCTAGCAACTATCGCCCTTCCGTAGATGCATTGCAGTCTCACATCTCTGTTGCCTACGCCTCGTTACTCGATGGCTTCGATATGCATGGTCTGTCTCAAGTTAACTATATTACTAATCAGAACATGCGAATCTTGGATTTCGCTTTGGTGATTGAAGCAACGCTCTCTCGATGCCAGATTGAAGAAGCTGTAGAACCGCTTTCTATTCTTGATGCCAATCATCTCGCTTTTGAAGTAACTATTAGTATCTCACAGCCTACTGAATTTGAGAGTGTCCCGGACGAACCTGGACTCGACTTTCACCGCGCTGATTTTGAAGATTACTTGATGCACTTCACCAAGCACTGACTTGGACGGTAACCTTCTCACGAACGAGTGTGAGGTGATTGAGAGGTGGAAGCAGTACTATGACGGGCACCTCAACGATGAAGCAGCAGAAAACGAAGGTGGCACGGCAACAGACCTTGGAGCACGCGCAGAAGACGACAGGCTACCGGCCCCTGATCTTCAAGAAGTTGAGGAGGAGATCGGTCGGCTGAAGAACAACAAAGCAACTGGTGTAGATCAACTACCAAGTGAGCTATTAAGTGCCGCCTACAAGGTACTCTCCCAAATTCTATGCCGCCCCTGTCACCATTTGCAAGAGAGTTCGTGGGGTAATACCAGGCGGGATTCATGGGTGCCCGCGCTACCACGGACCAAATTTTCGTGATTACGCGGGTTCTGCAGGAATGCCGCGAATACAACGTGCCCACACATCATTTGTTCATCGATTTCAAATCCGCATACGACACAATCGATCGAGATCAGCTATGGCAGATTATGGACGAGTACGAATTTCCGGATAAACTGACGCGATTAGTCAAGGCGACGATGGGTCGAGTGATGTGCGTTGTTCGAGTATCGGGGACACTCTCGATTCCCTTTGAATCTCAAAGGGGGTTACGGCAAGGTGATGGACTTTCGTGTCTGCTATTCAACATCGCGTTAGAAGGTGTTATCAGAAGAGCTGGGATAGACAGGAGCTTCTTGGCTTCGCCGATGACATTGACATCATGGCACAGAACTTTGGGACGATGGCGGAAATGTTCATCAGACTGAAGGCTGAAGCTAAGCGGATTGAACTTGCCATCAACGCATCGAAGACAAAATACATGAAAGGAAGAGGTTCTAGGGAAGACAATGTTAGCCTCCCACCCCGAGTTCAGATTGACGGTGACGAAATCGAGGTGGTCGATGAGTTCATGTATTTGGGATCACTGGTGACCGCCGAAAATAATACCAGCAGAGATTCAAAAAATTTACAGCGATGTTTAGAATTTCGGGGTTTGTTAAGTTCCACATAAACCTTATATCAAAGGCATACCCTTAGTACATGCACTGCAAGTGCACCAATAATGCGGAACATGAACATGATTCATGGGATCTATTTTAGAGTGGTTTGTGAAAAAATACTTTTAATTTATTCTCTTCTTGCAAAAAAACAGCAAAAAAAAAATGTTCCGATTTTGTCAGTTGGCTCGAAAATCATTACGTTTCTGCCAGTCCTAGGGTCTAAATAAGCTTAGAATCATCTGAAATATTTCAGTCAACTTAAGGGGGTATTCCCGATCTTTTTTTTCAAAAAATCAAATTTTTTTTTCACGTTTTTTTGTACTTTAGACTATATACAGCGAATTCGGTGTCCAGGCATAGCTGACTAATGGTAAGAACCCCCAAATGGTTTTAACTAAAGTCAAAACTTTAAACGCGTTTTTCTCGAAACCACATTTTTTTTATCGGGCGAAGATTTTTCTCAGAAACTATAAGAGATATTGACTTGAATCTTTGCGCATTTTGTTCCTTATTAAATTCTTTGGAGCTTCTCCCACTTTCAGCCAAAAATATTAACATTTAACATTGTTTGAAGCACCTTAAAGCTGCAAAAAAGCGGGCTAAAAATCGCCTGTTTTTTCATATGGCCGCCATTTTGTTAATTTGCAAGATTTTTTGCTGCCAACGGGAGAAGCTCCAGAGAATCTTATGCAGATTATTAATTTCATCACGAAATCTGTTTCAGATGAAGCCGTTCCAGAGAAAAGTCTTCGCCCGTCCAGGCGTTTGCGGCGAACAGGGGTCTGTTTGCCGCCATTTTGTGACGTCAATAATGTCTTTTTTTATGTCGAAAAAAATTTATTTGTAAACTTTAATGTTCAATAAACAAGAATCCCAAAGAGTTAGGCGCATTACTATTCATTTTCCTTGAAAAAAAAATAATTGAAAAACAGGCCAAAAAAGGCAAAAGATTGGGAATACCCCCTTAACAACTTTGTCGAAAATGAGAACCTTTTATAAATTCAGGAACAGGATCGAGCAATCACTAGTGCCTTCTTTTGTGTGAAATTTTGAACTAAACAAACCGTCATCTCAAAGGATTCATTTCACATGGCCGCTGTGACTAACTAAGTAGTCACGGTTTTAATGAAAATACTATCATCAAGATATATCGTATAAAATCATATTTTTGATAACTAACGTCACATAGTGAGCCAATTTTGAAGTGAAGCCATATGAAAGGTTTTTTTTTTCTTTATTTAAGAGGTTTTCAGCCTAAAGGCTGGTTCGCCTCTGGGGTAAAGGTTTATTTAAACTGGGCAACTTGTTAGGATCCTAACATCATGACTAGCGTCACCATGAGAGACAAATCTAATATGTCGCTGAACTAATCAACTTTTCCGAAGACGGGACATTTTCTGTTTAGTCAGGAAGGATCAGATTCTGCCAAAATGGAACATTTCTTCCATGATCTAGTGAGACAACTTCAAATTAAAATATCTGCCATGAACTATGACCAATACGCGATCCTTCCATCATGTTTGGATTATAAGACACTACAGACATATTGATGTACATACTGTTCTATTTTTAGGCTACAGGGTGGGTATGAGTTAAACAAAAAAGGAGCTACCACTTTGGTTGATGGAGAACAACGCAACTACGATCAGCTTGATGATATAAAGGAGCAAAGTAAACTTTATAATGGATGGTTGATTTCGGCTAATGAAATATCGAGTTATGGAAAGTTGACTATTACAACTTAGCGTAGAATTGCCAATTAATGGAATATTATTCGTTCAAGGATAAAGTTGTTGGTTGAAATGCACCCGAAAATAAAGAAATTCAATGCAGTGTTACGGGGATAATTAAGCTTTGCCAATACGTAAGTCAATTCGCAAGGCGATTTAACCGCATTAAAGTTGTTTTCTCTGGTTTAAGGATTAGTTCGACGCTTTATTTAGTCATGTAACATCTTTCAATATAGGGGAAATGGCTATAATGTTGGCCTATGGATCTAAGATTGGGCCCATCGCTAAAATCTGCTATTTATCAATTTTATCTACATGAACGCGTCATTGGGACGGTACTAATGGATATTTTTGGTCGCTATTGAAAATTTAGTCGATTGCTGAATTTATGTATGGGCCCAAATTAGGGGCATTTCCCCTAGTTTTTATAATTATATTTTGTGTTTGACCCATAAAACCTATCCATTTTGCTATCAGAGAATCACAATAACCGATTTGTGATTCTTGAGCGCTGACGAATCGTACAAAATATGATCATATCATCTAATGATTTCATTATTCTGAAAAAAAAAAATACATAATAATAAATAAACGAAGTGAGTGGAAGCAATCCTTGTGCCATATTTCTCATTCTTTATTAATGCTTCCTTTAAAAATACCACAACGAATTTAGCAAATTTTCCCAGCAACAATCTTCTACGGGCGTGTGTTCGCCCCGACGTCACCGATTTCTAAATTGAAGCTGGAATATTTTTTAAACACTGTGACACCTTCGCGTCACGTCACGTTCAACGAGTTCACACGGATTGAGAAGTATTTGGACGGATCGATAGATTGCTAGATACTAGAATCAGTTGTTGTTTCTTGTTTAGAGTGAGTATGATGAGTGATAGCGAAATGGCTCTGACACTTTTCGGATTTCCCAAGGTTTTCGCTTCATGTGATGTGTGCTTGTGTGTAGAGAGTACAGGCTGATGAGGGACAGTAGTGGCAGCCGAAACCGTTGCAACTAGAATAGCGTCTCCTTGGACCACTTTCGCGAGGGACCTTGTCCGCAAGGATCCACCGGTGACAGTGGCGACTGGGAGCTATCCTCGTCTATCGTTAGTATTGGTAGCTCGAGAATCACAGAAGGGCTTTTGATATTACTGCTATGGTTTTTGATTATAACATTAACTTCAACGCATTTAGTATTACTCTCCTCCTCAACTTGATTGCTATTATCGTCGTTATTATTATTAGTTTTGCTAGAGCTAGTATTATTGTTTTTCTTACTTTTATGGCTACTTGAATGACCGCTAGATGATTGATTACTAGGCAAAGTGCTTCTTCCGCCGGCTGCCGCAGACGGACCTGAAGTCCCGGGTGGCTGTGACACCGCCAGCGCCGAAGATCGATCCCGGTTGTCATTTTGTTGCTGTCTTTCGATGATTGCTTTTGTTTCGATTTTAGTCACTAAATTCACTTTATCGGTTTTCAGCTTGGCCTTACCATGACGATTACTATTTGAAAGACTACTTAAACAACTAGTATCATTAGGGTTTTCGATATCGACATAAACGGTATCACTGGCGGCACCACTACTAACATCACACTGCTGCTGCTGTTGTTGCCGTATCTGCGGTATCCGATTAGCACTACTACTGCTACTGCTATGTGCACCACCGGTACCACCGGTCGCTGTCGTTTCAACGGAATAGGTTACAGACGTACTAGGACCGGCCACCTTAATCACCACCGGTGCTACGGAACATTCGCCCTCGTCTGGAATACTGAGCTCATCGCTATCGGTGCTGAACTGTTGCAGATCTTCGTCGGTATCTGCACAGCTGTCGTCAAACACCGAGTCCGACCCACAGCTGTGCAAATCACTATCCTGGCAGTCCGCCGACGACATCTTGAAGGAACTGAGAGATGCCAGAGGAGCTCTACGCACAACAACATTACTGCTAGGATTATGGTTTGCTATACTAATATCATCTATTCTACTGCTACTGTTATAACTCTGTCGTAGTGGTTTTTGGCTATGGTTAAATTCAGCACCATTCGTATCGGGATACTCGGATATACAATCGATCGAGCTATCGTCGTAAAGTCGATGCTTCCTACTGGTAAAACTGTCACGAGCTGATAGGCTCGTTGATCTGTGCGCCACCCGTTCGCTGGGACATGGCGATGATTTCGGCGTTGCTTCGATAATATTGATCCCGGGATAGAACGCATCCCAGTCCGCACAGGTTGCCCCTAGTGTGGATCCGTTCATCGTTTGACTACGATCCTCGCGACTATGTTGTCGCGATGGTGACCGCGATATCGGTGGTAACGAGGATAATCCTAGCGTAATGGCAGAGCACCGTCGCTCCAGGAATGAACTCTCCGTACTGCAACAAGTCATTGCACTGCTTCGACGTGACTCGTTTCCCTGGAAAACCCAAAACAAAATCCATATCAAACCAATCATCCAACAACCATCTCAGCCCAATACTCACCCTCCCGGGCACGGATAGGAAATTCCCCGGTGGATAACCCACGTCAGCCGTTGTCGTGAACTGATCGAATTCATCGTCGGCTTCTTCGCCGTCGCTTTCCGGGAAATAATCATCCTGGCCGAAACTTTCGCCCATATTGTAGGCACTGAGAATTCGAGACGACACCGATACGCTATTCCGATGACCTCGGCTGCTCGCATAGGAATACCGTCGCGGTGGATTCAGCAAACTACTGTACCCACCGGCAACGGAAGAAAATCTCGAATTTCGATTGAGCATCGGTGGAGCGCTGACGTTCCCCAACGAGAGCAAGCGGTCTCGCTTCAAGCCCGGATAGTTTATGTACAGTTCTTCCTGTAGCAGGGAAAAGGCCGTTGCTTCAATTGCTTCCTGTAGTTCACGTTCTTCCTCCTCTTCGATGACGGCCGCCGCAACGGCTGCTATCGTTGGATCCTGTCGAAATAAAAGGGAAAATATTTATTAGGCTTTTGGTAGAAACATTATTACTAACGCCCCAATAAACGTGGCATGGCAGGTTTCAATCCAACCCATCGTTTAGGTTGTATCGATTTTCATACTTTTTGTCAGTCTTCAAGGTGTCATGCATATTCCTTCCTTTTTAAGGGAGGAAAGTGAGAGATCACGGAAAAGGAAAAAGCATCTTATACGGGGGCAATCGATATCGATGATACAGCAAAGAACTAGCATCATAGACACTGACGGAAATCATTCATTTACCCACTTCCAGTATGGTGTCCGGTTCGCGGTTGTCTTTGGTAGGGGTTCACTGCGATTCGATGAGAAATTTAAATCACCCCGAAGGGTGAGATAGGTAATAAGTTATACCCACCGCTATTGTTGGATTGTTTTCCAACTAATTGAGCCCATCTTGGATGGTTCAATATATTGATGGTGGATTAATCCCAGCTCAATCAATTCTAAATCAGGCCCTGATCGTAATCCCGAAATTTGAGCTCATTTAGTTGCGATATCATAACGCACTATCCCTTTGAAGTTTATATGAGAATTACTATGGAAAATGTGTTTTGCTTTTGTTCTCATCGTCTTATAGAAAATTTTCTCAGCTACAACTTTGCTGTAGATCACATTTTAATTGAACGTCAGGTTAATCAGTTATTAATAAATTAGAAAGATGATATTCTTCTGGCATAGGTACTCCATCAATTGCTCAGCAGGCAACATTGGTGCTCTTGGCGCGAATAATAGAGCAAAAAAAAAATCCTGGCTACTATGCCATGCTGCAAGATACAGTGTTACCCTGAAAACAGTCGATTAATCATATAATCATATCAGAAAACTATCGGCTTCGAAATCAATTAATAACTAATTATCTTGATGTTCAAAGAAAAAGTGTTGATCAACAAAGTTGTAGCTGATAACATTCCACATAAGAACAGATAGCAAGCTTACCCGTAAATTATTATGGAAACAATCAAGAGAGAATACAAAGATCACGTTTCCCATAGTAATTTCCATATAAATGTCAAACTGCCAGTGCAATGAGATCGCAAGCAAATGAGCTCAAATTTTTAAAGCATGGTCCTGATATAGAAGCTATTGGAGCAAAACCAATATTTTGAACCTCCCTAGTGACCTGAATACAACCTAAAGAAAGCTTGAAACATAAGCTTTCAAATTGAACATAGAGAATTTTGTGATTTTTTGGGATTGGAAGATTGAAGTGAAAGCTCTACGCAGATGGTGCTCTTGCATGATGATGATGATAAAGTTGACAGGATGCATAGGAAATGCATGAAAGTGAGCATTAAAACGTAATTTCCATCAAACCAGTATAGCATCCTTCCAATAAAACCTTCGAATTTAGTATGAAAACGTCATTCGGATCAAAATGATGTGCCTCTTTGACTTTTCTAGTTGGATTTTCATACGAAATATTCATTTAATTTCACGACACCGTCAATGAAACAGCGCATAAAAGATGTGAACAACAGTAAGTTTCTTAAATTGTTCAAAATAAAGATGATTTGCTGCTTTGGTATCACTGTGAAAACCATCTAGAATCATTCTAGAGTAGAGTTGATTAAATGAAGTTCAGTTGTATTTTCCATCGTAATTTTCGAGCATCCAAATGAGTGCAAATGTTTTATGAATAATTTGTCATGAAAACATCACAGAATAACGCTGGACAAATAACAGTTAGTTACCAAAAACATATTCCTACGCGATTCAAGCAAAATGTTCCCGGGGAAGCTAATCTTTCATCAGCAATGGAGGATTATGGAGCGATTTTTCCATGGAACATTGTTCAACCATCACTCTCTCACTTTGAAATGCAGGTGGCGAAAGCTCGCAAAAGTTTCACTGCAATCTTCCAATAGGCATTGTTATTTTGACTACAAACCGAAAAATGTCGTATCTCTCACTCAGGGTTGCTTCTACATGCTAAACACCATTGAGCTGAATGGGTAACAAGGTTGAATTTTGGATAGTGAAAGATTGTTGTAAGAAATTATTTTAGAAACCTTGAGCTTGGAAAAAAAGTCTGGTTTCTGTCTTGAGCTTGGATGAACTTACAGGAAAACAAAAACCAAAGAAATTTATATGTGAATTGGGATAATTCAACTGGTATTCCAAAGAGAACTCAAAGGGAATTTAGAAAAGTATTGTGAGAAAATGTCCAGAGGAATTTCAAAGAATCTCCGAGAAGAACCCTCACGAGAAGCATGCCAACGTCCCAGAATATTTCGCTATTCTCGCTTCATTGGCACTTCGGGCCGTCCGCAACGTCCAACAGCTGTGTCAAATGTGTTGAATTCGGTGGGTGGCATCTTATGCCTTTTTGGTAGCAAATTTCGACAACCGACGGATTCAAATGAGAAGAAAGATTGTCTCCGATTAGCACAATTGGCCTTTTCAAATGCTTTGTTGCTGGTAGGAAAAGTGAGTTGAAGCAATTTTCGAAAACCTTTTCATTGAACCAGCGAGAAGCCCTTCGATTGTAGCGCGTTCTTTTAGGGCCGTTAAGTGTCCACGTGTCCCATAGGTGCTCTGCCTTGAACACCACGTATGGTGGCAACAGTTATCCAGTTGCACTGCCACAAGACATAACGGAAGTGGCAGGTTTAATGAAGATCCTCACGTTTCAAAATATTTTAAGCCACGCTCATAGATGGAAAGCTTCTTACCCGGATCATCCAACAGATTTGTCTCATCGTAATTGAAGATGTTCCTGCTTCCACGTCGAGGGATTTTTTTAGGTTGGCCATGTATTTGCCAATTGTCTCCCGTGTTTTCCCTGCTCGGCTTAATTTTATGTTTTGAGCACAACGTTAATTCAGTTCCTGGAGATCGCGATGGAAGCCTGCCACCCAGTCCGGCAAAGGTTTGTTGTTTACGAAAGGTGTAGCATTTCAATTCGGATAAGGTACACAAATGGTTCGAAATTGATACTTCTCCCGCTTCTGTAAATACGTTTTGATGGCCGGGAAGCTTCTGGTGCGATCCTCTCAGCTTGTTGTACATAGTTCTGACTTTTGTAGGCATTCCTGAAAATCTGATCCGGAAACTACGATATATTTGAGAGAATTTTTTTTACCTTTCGGTAGTTCCGTCCCATTTTTGAACATAGAAAAAATAAACAAACATAACCTTGTAATAGGATCGTCGATAAAAATTTGACCACCGTTTACTTTTTTTGTGATGAAATAACTAATTCTAATGAAGAACCAACGCATCCACCATTGAATAGATAAAATAATAGGTTGTGGATGTGTTTATCTACTTACAGTAATTTATTAATAATGGGAACTTTTTTTATGGAGCAATTGAATCAGGAGCTGCAAATCACTTCCACGTAACTATTAAACCTCCCTAGTAACACACTTTTCAGTGAACAATTGTTGTTGGGATGCGTTTACCAACTCTTTATAGCTACACTTCGTGAGTTGTGTTTGTGATAGCTTAAAGAAATTTGGTGTACTTTTTCTGGAAGTGGTATGGCTCGAATTCCCACTCTACTTCTTCAATTTAGACCGTAAGTGTTTATAATTTATGATTAGATTTAAGCACTACACGGCAAATAATGTGAATATTAGATAAGTAGAATACTAGAATAAGGATAATAATAGATCAACAACTATGTCAGCTTTTGTTCTTCGTGTTTGTTCTTCCTCTTTTCGTTTGACGTTATTCTAAGTTCCACCGGTGACGTTTCCCACTGTCATTTGATTCACCGTAAATGCAGGGCCGTAGCGTTTGCAGCGTCGCCGCGATGAGGGGTCTCGTCGTGACATACCCCCGCCCGTAAACCTTGGTGAGGGTTCGAAACTTCTGGGGTACCGAACCCGGGTTTACTGTTAAACTCGACGTCCAATACAGCTAACTTCACTGCTGGTCTTCGTAGAATCCCCGAAGATGTACGCACAAGAGCTTGGCGCACTCTACCGTCCCTGCCGGGAAACACCTGCTCGATACGTCCACGTTTCCACTGGTCCCTCGCCGTTCCGCCAACGACCAGAACCAAATCGCCTACTGCCAGATCTTTTACATCGTTGAACCACTTGCATCGCCGTGTGATCACAGGAAGGTACTCCTTAAGCCACCTGCACCAAAAATCATCAGCGATATACCTAGCTAGCTTCCAGCTGCTTCGAAGGGTTGACCTATAGTCTAACTGCTCGGTGGGTAGGAACTTGGACCCAGAAGAACTGCCCAGCAAAAAATGGTTGGGTGTTAAGGCCTCCTGGTCTGCCGACTCCAGAGGGATGTAGGTAAGCGGTCTGGAGTTGATCATCCCCTCCGCTTCCAGAAGGATTGTCTCCAATGTCTCGTCGTCTGGTTTTCGTGGACCGTTAAGCAAGCCGCCAATTGCTACTTTTACGGACCGGACAAGCCTCTCCCATGCACCGCCCATGTGTGGTGCCGCTGGTGGGATGAATTTCCAAGCAGTTTCGGCGGTTGTAAACCTTTCCGAGAGGGCCTTGATTTTGGCATCCGTTTGCGCCTTCAGCTCGTTGCTAGTGCCCTGAAAACAGGTGGCATTGTCGGTCCAGAACTCTCTTGGATTGCCTCTGCGTGCCACGAAGCGTTGAACAGCCATAATGCACGACTCCGTACTTAGTGAATGCACGATTTCCATGTGTACTGCTCTAATTGTGAGACATGTGAAGAGGGCCACCCAACGTTTCACACTGCTCCTACCCACCTTGGTCAGTACTGGCCCGAAGTAGTCCACCCCGGTGAACGTGAACGGTTGAACGAAAGCTGTCAGGCGCATCTCGGGAAGCGGAGCCATTGCTGGTGGTCTTGGAATCGCCTTCGTTAGGCGGCAGAATGCACAAGCATTTGCGACTTTATCCAAGAGCCTTCTTAGTGATGAGATCTCAAAGCGTTGACGAATCTCGTTGAATATGGTTTCTCGGTTGGCGTGACGGAAGCGGCGATGATACCAGTCTACAATAAGGAAAGTAATT